CGAAGGTCATGGAATACCTCAAGTCCTCGATGTTAAAATGAAGTCCACATTTCCTGCAGGACTCAAAAACTTTGAAGCTGATGGAATGCCTCAAGTTCCCAAAGTTAACATAAAGTCCACGTTTCCTGGAGGATTCAAAGACCTTGAAGGTCATCGAATATCTCAAGTTCCCGAAGCTTCCACGAATTTCACATATTCAAGAGGCGTTGAAGACCTCGAATGTCATGGAATACTACAGTTTTCTGATGTTCCCACAAAGTCCACATTTCCTGAAGGACTCAAAGACCATGAAGGTCATGCATTATCCCAAGTTCCTGATGTTTCCGAAAAGTCCACATTTTTCGGCGGACTCAAAGACCTCGAAGCTCATGGAATACCTCAAGTTCCCGATGTTAAAATGAAGTCCACATTTCCTGCAGGACTCAAAAACTTTGAAGCTGCTGGAATGCCTCAAGTTCTTAAAGTTAACATAAAGTCCACGTTTCCTGGAGGATTTAAAGACCTTGAAGCTCATGGAATACCTCAAGTTTCCGAAGCTTCCACGAATTCCACATATTCAGGAGGCGTCAAAGACCTCGAACACCACGGAACACTACAAGTTCTTGATGTTCCCACGAAGTCGACTTTTCCTGGAGTTCTTAAAGACCTCAAAGGTCATGGAATACCCCAGGTTCCTGATATTCCCACAAAGTCCACATTTCCTGGAGGATTCAAAGACCACGAAGCTAATGGAATAACCCAAAGTCCAGATATTCCCACAAAGTCCACATTTCTTGGAGGACTCAAAGAACACGAAGGTCATGGAATATCTCAAGTTCCTGATGTTTCCTCAAAGTCCACATTTCCTGCAGGACTCAAAAACTTTGAAGCTGATGAAATGCCTCAAGTTCCCAAAGTTAACATAAAGTCCACGTTTCCTGAAGGATTCAAAGACCTCAAAGCTCGTGGAATACCTCAAGTTCCCAAAGCTTCCACGAATTCCACATTTTCTGAAGGATTCAAAGACCAAGAAGCTCATGTAATACCTCAAGTTTTCGAAGCTTCCACGATTTCCACATTTTCTGAAGGATTCAAAGACCAAGAAACTCACGTAATACCTCAAGTCTTTGAAGCTTCCACAAATTCCACATTTTCTGGAGGATTTAAAGACTTAGAAGCTCGTGGAATACCTCAAGTCTTCGAAGCTTCCA